GACATCAAAGAACGGTATGACTGGCCAATCCTGCATTCCAAAACCCTAAGATATCTGTGATGAGAAAGCCCGGCCATTTATCATCATTTATCTATATAGTGTTTATATTGGAATAAGTCCTAATGTCACCAAGCCCAGCCAAAAAAAACCAAAAAAATGTCCGGTCCCATGATGTGGCGAAGGGGAGTCTCCCACGGAGGTATTTCAAACCATTCTTGGACAAACCCACCCAGGGAAGATTTTGAGGATCCTACCCAAAAAAAACAACTGCGGGGTGGCGCCCCCCGATTGCATTTGCAAACTTAAAACGCAATCTAAGCATATATGTATTTATATATATATATATTTATTTATTTATTTCAGTACCATCAATGCAACAGTTGAGCTAACTACATTTACCAGCTCAGATAACAAACTGGAGCACCACCTTGTAGTTAGGTTGATAATTGTCATGTCCCCATGAAATTCCATCAAAAAAATCGGTTTAATACCGCTGTTTTTGCTGGTGTATTCAACGTTTTTGTTGAATATCCCTAATAGATCCCACGATTTTCAGATTTTCATGGCTTTTGCAATGGATTTTCCTGTGATCGACTGACTCGACTGACTGGCCTCTGCTTCGGAGCCAGCATTCAGCTCCAGCTCCACGTCAGCACCTGAAATCCAGCCACCAAGCGTTGTTTGGCGCTGTTGGGCACAAGCATATACAACTATTTGCAAAATGCACGTGCTATATCATATATAAACACCAGTAGATACATACACACACACACATATATATATATATATATTATATATATATATCTATAGTATATACTGGGATGTTGTGAGTAACCAACAGCCAACAGCTAGAAAGAACGTTTTGAATTGAGCAAACTAGTAGAAATTGGTGGAAAAACAAAACATCCCAAGTAGGATGCTTGGAGCTGGCCCTAGTAGCCAGCTCCGCGCCCAGTTGTTGACCCATCAAGATGCTTGCGGGTTGATTTGTCAACCTAGGTCTAAATAATTTCCGCTGAAATCAATATCTTAAAGTCTCTGAAATAAGTTTCAAGCAGCTAGCACGTGTCACAAGTTTCTAATCTATGATAACCATTGATAACCTATGTGTTTATTTGCTGATTCACTGTGTTTATGTACTGACTCACTCGTCTTCTTGTTTAAATGGATGCATGCCCCAATTGCTTTCCTTCACAGGTTCACAGGTTCACTCTTGCGCGCTGCGTTCTCGGCACGCAAGGTCTGGCCCAGATCGTGGCACATGCGGAGCAACGCCTAGCCACTGCTAGGCGCTGCCACCCGGCATTCATGGATCATTCCGGTTGTAATCTTGGAGGTTTCCTAGAATCGTGGATCCCAAAAACATCCCAAATTGGTTAATTATTATTATCAATGGGAAGCCAATGGCTTGAGGTAGCCATATTTTAGGAATACACCATTTTACAAGTGGGACAATTCTGAACCTTTGAAAGCGGGGTTTGTTTCCTAGCTTTTCCAATGTAATTCTCTCATTTTTTTAATACTGGGGATATGGTTCGTTTCTCACTTACTGGTAAAAACATAATGGGTTTACTATTCGAGCCCGCCATCCCAGGATGACTCCCCCTCATAATTAGTACCCTTCCTTTAGTAAATGAATCATCCGCCACTAGGCCAGAGTTTCTGGTTCGCGTTGATCATTAACGGAAGGGATGAATCAGCTGCAGGTCTGCTCATAAATGCTGATCGGAAAGTCATTCATTTATAGTTGATTTATCTATTCAAAATGATGGTTTTCGAAGGTTATGTTAGTTTACCAGAGGGTAACATATGGGGCATCACTTCTGACAGTCAGTTGATCTATCACACCTAGGCTGACGGCCTGCCACTTCCCCTTTGGAGTTGATGTGCTGGCGTTTTGGCTGGTGTTAAACATCCACAAAATCCTGGCTACTTGGTTAACCCCTGTTACCCCCCACAACCTTCACCATCTTCACCTAATACCCGATTTTCATCTGCAAGAGAAAAGCTGCGTTATCTGCACATTGATATGCAATTCATCAAGGTTTATGGAAGCTCTCGGACGTTTCTAGGTCCCCGCTCCAAGTTGCACTGTAGTGGGACATGCAGTACACCCATCAAAAAAACCCAAACATGTGAACCGCCTAAGTGTATGGCTAGACCCATCCAGAGTAGAACGAAATGTATTGAATTCCTATCATAATTCCACTTGCCCCATGGTAAACTAACGTAGATGCGGAAAACCCTGGTTTTTGAAAGAAAATGATCTGCAAATGATTAATCTTCCACATCTATTTTTTGTTTACCCTCGGGTAATTCCAATTTGTCAACGGTAAGACCCCTATATTTTCACATGAACAACTCCATGGTTCCCAGCATTTCCACCTCTTGGGTCCGCTCCCGTGCAGCCGTCTGGGCGGGGGCAACTAGAATGAGCATCAATTAAGGGTCCGTACAGACCAACAGGAACCTGCATCCATTTTGATGGGGGTTTAGCCAATTATCATGGGGATTAAGAATGAGATCAAAGGATCTTAAGCTGCGATGATATGGATTTACCATGATTTACCTGAATACATTCGATGATTTTCAGAATTCCACCTTTCGGGAATTCCAGAAAAGCCCCCCCAGAAGTTTTCAGCCTGGGCCATGATCCCACGTGTATGCATACAACACACACACATACAGACATAGATTCCATAGATATATCTATAACTATAGATGTATCTATAGCTATAGGTATAGACTAAGTAACTAACTGGCTCATGATGGTTCCAGATCTAGCTATAACTAGATGTAGCTTCATGGGATAGACTAAGTACAGTAACCATACATGGGAACCTGGCTGATGGGAGCGGGGCCCATTCAGCTTACATCCTCGTCCAGAAATCTGAAGCTCGAGATGATTTCTTTTCCTAGTTGCAACCACCATTATTGCCCATTTATAGGTAAAATTAACATGCTTCTCCCAAACATATCCAAAAATGCCGCTAATATCATCTCATGATAGGCCCATGGACAACTACATTCTTGGATGTGCATCCCTGGAAACCTAACAGGTTCATAACCTGTATACATCACTGCGATCTATCACAAAAAATGGGGGCACCCAACATGGCACCATTAAGCAATTTCTTTAATCATTCTTGCTTGTGCCCTCTGTGTTTTTGCTTAGTGATACCCTCGATACATTTCGTTGGTTCAACGCGAAACATTGATGACACATGATGACACACCCCACATCCCAACGTTTTATGCTTAACCTTCCATTTTGCCGAGTGACATCTACCTTCTTGACGGCAAAACTGACGTTTTTTTTTCAACATCTTCCTGATTTCTGATCATGAAACTGACAATTTTGCTTGGTTAATTTCCAGTAAATCAACATGTTGACCCTGCCATTCATCAAGATTCGTTTCAAAAAGATGGCTGAACATCTCAGTCTGTCCAACGGTTAATTATGGTATACTGGAATCTAATGGGGATATATTCGGAATATATAAAATATATAACTCATGTAAATTTACCAGTACCCATGGCACATCACCTCCTCGTGGGCGGCGATGCGAAGCTTGCGCAGCTCTGAACTGGCCACCGTGTTTGTTTGAAGCTGCGTGAATCGTATGGGGCATATGGATGCATATGGGGGTTGATACGGATTTATAGGGATTTACCAGGGAAAAAGATGGGGTTTTCAAGGGAAAACTAAGGAGAGTGGATTGGGGATTTCATCAAAATATGGGGAGGGAACTCGGAAACATGTGGATACTATGGGATCTTATTGGGATATATGATGTATCATCGACCATATGAGATGTGTCTGAAAATATGGAGAAAAACTCCAAACATTGCCATGAGATCATCAGGAAAATGATGAGGAACCAATGGATGGAACGGCCCCGATGAGATCCCAATAGGTCAAAATGAAGGGCCACCAACGATATGCCAACTTCAGCATGATGGGTGGGGTGAGTTTCATTTCGTGGCAGCTGCCATGAAGAGGGACCTGAATATGAATGGGCCTTGCGGCAGAATGTACTAAATACATGTGAGCTGTGGAATTTGACCTCCGTAAATTGGTGGCACAGGACGTCAAATTCAAAACACGGCAAGGGAAACACAACACTGCTACTTGCAATGCTCGTGCGACTCGCTTGGTCAGGATGACATCGCTAGCCCCACACCTTATGTTGGTCATGTTTCAATACAGCTTGTCGTGGTCACACTTTTCGGATGAATGCACAGACAATACCCAATCAGTAGACCAATGCAACACACATATTTCCACTGAACATTACCAGAATGATCTAGAGAGTACATGAGAGTATGTATATAATAGATGGGTGACAACATCAATGAGTTCTCATATTGTTGAGCGGCTAAGCAATGGGCAAGCCCATGACTAGCGCGGTCTCAATTTTGGTGGTTTGATGATCCGTTTGTCAGAGTTAGAAGTAGCAAATAGAATTTGCACCCGCTGTTGGTGGTAGTTCTCCTTTTTTGGTAGCTCTCCTTTTTTGAAACTCTTTTCCGCTAAACGCTTGTGGTCACTGTGGCAAAGGACCAAAAGTCAAGCCTTAAATCAAGCCTTGTGAAAATGGTTGCTATCGAATAATCTTTCAGCCAAAGGGTGCGTACCAAAGGCGCCTTCAATAATTTTGGGCAGCTTGCCCACAAACAGATGCAAAGATATGTCAATACTCAAACAACGAAACGCAAAAACATAGTTGTCATGGCAGGCAAATCTTGGAAACCCTACGCAAAGAATTCTTAGCATTGAATTCTCATCCCCGTTTGTAGCCAGAAATCATCCCATTTATAAAGTCAAGGTTTGCCCTGCGTGCTCTGGTTGTTTTCACACCCTCCTGAACAGTAATAGTCAGGTAGCAGTTGGGATCATCATCCCAAATAGGGTTACATCAACATAACACATTTTTGAAACAACCTAACTAGACACATAGTGATCGTAGTGGAACAGAGACATCCTCACATAATTTCTTCACTTTTTTGCGGCTTCACTCCTCATCCTTTTTTGCGAAGCTCTCCGTAGTTTCGGGGTCGCCCCTTCCGCGTTTGGCTCACTGACCAATCTTGGGCTTGCCCCAGGAGAGGAGCCCGGAACCGCTGGGCTGTTTGCTGCGCAGCACTCGCAAGGGCACACCTGGTTGAGCTGAGCACTTGGATGTCTAGTTGATATACCAATGTATAAACCATATGTAACTAAGGGTAATTGAGGGTATGCCATGTCTACATATGTAATATGGTTATTACGTTCTATATCATCTTATTACATGTTAAAGCCCACTTAACACATCTTAATATCTGTTGTTCACCTCCTAAGTGCCAAATATTGAAGGATAACAACGCAACATGGAATGGTTTGCCACAACACAAAGATCAACAATCTCAATATCTGGCGAATCCCTGGGCCAACAATACAAAGCGCAGACACACTGCAAAAATGAAGTGGGATATAGTATGGATTTCAATGGGATATATATATAAATATATATGTGTGTGTGTGTGTCCATAGCATATGCATTAATACTAGTAGCAAGGCAAAAATGCTTGGTGTTCAGAGGCCTTGCAAGTCGATCTCTGCTTCCTTCGGCCTTGGGCAGCAAACATGATCCAACCCATTTGAGATTTGTTACTCCAATTTTGACAATTCTTCATAGTCCATGGTGGCGTTACCCTCTGGAAATTAAAATCTGGCAATGGATATTCCAGAATTCATAGATGCCTTTCTTCCAGTCTGTCCATTTAACACGATGATTGCCATGTTCAAGAGAGAGAGAGATATATTTATATATCATAAACCTAACAATTTATATCTCCAGCATGTTTAACCATCATGAACACATCTGAATCCTTCTCGCACCAGACATTCATCCAAGCAGCTCGGCATCAACCCCACCTGGCTGATTCCACAAGAGAAATATCGATGAGTGACCTTTCCACAAGAGAAATATCGATGAGTGACCTTTTGAACATTTTTTCAAATCATCAGTTGCCATCTGGTTGGTGGTTTCAGCCCCTCTGAAAAATATTATATAGTCAGTTGGGATCATTATTCCCAATATATGGAAAATTACTTTACTTCGTGTGATCCCCGCCATGACATTTATACATTTTCTTACTGGCAAATCTTCTAGCATTCTATCTGACATATCTTCTGACATTCTATTTGGCATATCTTCTGGCATATGATCTGGCATATCTTCTGGCATTCTATCTGGCAAATCTTCTGGCATTCTATCTGGCATATCTTCTGGCATTCTATCTGACATATCTTCTGGCATTCTATCTGGCATATCTTCTGGCATATATCTGATATATCTTCTGGCATATCTGACATATCTTCTGGCATATATTCTGACATCTTCTGGCATATCTTCTGGCATATCTGGCATATCTTCTGACATATCTATCTGGCATATCTTCTGGCATATTTTCTGGCATTCTATCTGGCAAATCTTCTGGCATTCTATCTGGCATTCTATCTGGCATATCTTCTGGCATATTATCTGGCATTCTATCTGGCATATCTTCTGGCATATCTATCTGGCATTCTTTGGCTGGCATTCTTCTGGCATATCTTCTGACTTCTGACATTCTTTCTGACATTCTTTCTAACTTCTTCTGCACATTCTTTGTCCCATATCTTCCTACATGAGGTCCGGCAGGGAACACTTGGCGTGGATACTCGCGGTTGAGGTCCGGCAGGGAACACTGGGCGTGGATGGTCGTGGTTGAGGTCCGGCAGGGAACACTGGCGTGGATGGTCGTGGTTGAGGTCCGGCAGGGAACACTGGGCGTGGATGGTCGTGGTTGAGGTCCGGCAGGGAACACTGGGCGTGGATGGTCGTGGTTGAGGTCCGGCAGAGAACACTGTGGATCGCGAGTCGCAGTTGAGCAAGGAGGACGAGGAGGACGAGGAGGACGAGGAGGACGAGGAGGACGAGGAGGAGGAGGAGAGGAGGAGGAGGAGAAGGAGGAGAAGGAGGAGGAGGCAACTGACATAAAATCTAACAACCCTCACCTGGCAGGTGGGGAAGAATGTTCTAAACCGCCAACCGGCCAATGACGTGTTTTCCAGAATCTTTTCACGGATCAGAACCCCATTCTATCTCGCTTCGTTGGTTATGCCGTGCTGTGTTTTTGCTGCTGCTTCGTCAGTACGCCATAGCTTTCACTGGAAAAACCAACTCCTTGGGCCCTAAAAGTTGACTGATGGGCACTTGATGATTACCCCCAATGCCCAAAGAAATGATCCCTACTAACCATTACTAACCAATCAATGTCCATCCTTTAGCCTCGGTTCAAAATGACTGTTGTCAGTTCCTCATCTTCGATAGAATCAATCCATCAATAGCGGCCCACAAGGATGGGTCCTCAGCCAATAACTGGATTAATTCAAATTGACCCTAGCTATGATAGCTGTAAGTTGTAGGTGCGATTTTCTTAGGATATACCCGCTGGTAAACGTTTACATAACGAACTGGAAAACCACCATGCTATCCATGGATAAATCAACTATTTCGACTGGGCCATTTTCAATAGCTATGTTGAATTACCAGAGGGTAACAAACATTAATGACCCCAAAGCACTGTTTTCACGGAGATCCACACCAGCCCCCCACGGGTGACCTCCCGCTTTGCTCGTTTGGTTCGGTGGCTCCTGATGGGAAGGGCCCATCGGAATGAGAGATACACCAGCGACAAAATTCTGATACATGACCACTAGCTTAGCAAGAATATAAAGATGCCCTACCTATCCTACAACTGGAATTTTGAGTGGGTCGGAGTTCAACTAAATGGTGCAAGCCGACCATATGTTACCAAATACGATGGTAGCCACACAACACAATCAACCACGCCCGCATGACTGCCATTCACCAGAGCATCCGAGAATATCCTGGTTGGTAATCCATCCAGAAAAATTAGTCATCCCCACCAATCATCCCAAGTATGGTTGAACAACAGTAATATTTGAACCCCCAAACCAATATCACATACACACATACATACACACACACACACATCTTTATTTTTAATTATATATATATTATACATATAACTCTCTCTCTCTCTCTCTCTGTCCCTCTGTCTCTCTGTCTCTCTGTCTCTCTGTCTCTCTGTCTCTCTGTCTGTCTGTCTGTCTGTCCGTCTGTCCGTCTGTCCGTCCGTCCGTCCGTCCGTCCGTCCGTCGGTCGGTCTGTCTGTCTGTCTGTCTGTCTGTCTCTCTGTCTCTCTGCCTCTCTGCCTCTCTGCCTCTCTGCCTCTCTGGCTCTCTGGCTCTCTGGCTCTCTGCCTCTCTGGCTCTCTGTCTCTCTGTCTCTCTGTCTCTCTGTCTCTCTGTCTCTCTGTCTCTCTGTCTCTCTGTCTCTCTGTCTCTCTGTCTCTCTGTCTCTCTGTCTCTGAGGTCAAGAGCGTCCAGTTTGGATGCGGAGCAATATGATCAGCCAGGACATGGACATGTACAGCAAGATGCAAACAGAACAAACACGCACATAGCACATCATAGCAACGGATATCGTGATCTCTCTCTCTCTCTCTCTCTCTCTAGACACACACACACACAACCCTCCATTACCCTCCAAAGGCCCCAAAATCAGCACCAAACTTCAAATCGCTAGCCCTCATCTCCCTGGTGGTTCCTCCTTGACGGGGAAGCTGCTGGATTGCGGGTCTTGTGAATTTTCCTCGGCTGACCGCGAAAAGAAAATATGGCATCAGCCAACAGCTCAAACCCAAGGCCCAAAGGGTGCATGTCCGGAACTTGAAGACCTTCAAAATCCAGCTCCCCCCGGAAAATCCCAATGACTCATGGATTACACCTAGATCCCCTAGCCTCGCTGTGGATCACGATTCTATGGTGGCTAAACCAACTGGATCCAAGGGGCAGCTGAGTGTAGTACAGCATCTTCATGAGATGGCCTTGGGGACGGGGCAATTCATTGTGCCAGGGGCTTTCCATAAATGGGGGTGCCCAAAACGGATGGTTTATACTGGAAAATCCTATTAGAACGGATGATTTGGGGGTACCACCATTTTAGGAAACCTCCATATGCAGCTATTATTTAGTGGAGAGTTCGATTTCTCAATTTTGTAGCCAAACATGGCACCTACCTTTCTCCAAAGTTTGCCAAGCTTATGGTAGTATGAGGTCAAGAGCGTCCAGTTTGGATGCGGAGCAATATGATCAGCCAGGAAATGGACATGTACAGCAAGATGCAAACAGAACAAACACGCACATAGCACATCATAGCACCGGATATCGTGATCTCTCTCTCTCTCTCTCTTTCTTTCTTTATTTACTTTCTATTTCCGGATATCTTTGGACTTTGGATACTGCTGCGCATCTTCAAATATTGAGACAGCTAGGTGTTGGTCTATCACATTGCAAAAACTGGCGCATCCAAGAATGGTGGGGCCTCAGCCTGATCATGGTTTATCAGAGGCATGATTGGACCCTAATATCCCAACAGCTGGGCCTTCCATTCTTTACCTCCTCATCTCCACCTCTTGCTGCACGTCTCCTGCGACTTTTGTCGCGCAGCTCAGCAGTGCAAGGGCCAAGTAGCAAACAGCTTCAGTCCTGAGATTCTCAGCAAGTCGAGCTTCACGTTGTTCTTTCTTCAACCTTTGCTGCTTGGATGACCAGCTCTCACCCGCTGGCTCTGCCTTGGCTGGTTTGGCACTCACAGCCACTTTCGGCTGCGGCATGGCCTTCACCGAGCTCACCGCGGGCTTCGCTTGGGGAAAGCTCTCCCGCCTTGGTGCGGGTGGAGGGGCGCTCACCTGTGGTCGCGGAGGTTCCACTGGCAGCCGTGGGGGCTCGGGCGGCGGTACCGGGTAGCAGGTAGCTGGCGCGTAGGGATCGATCAAGGGCACTCGGGCACGTGGCTCATCCGCTGGTGGCGCTGGCGGTTTCTGCTGGCCCTCCTCGCGCCACCTGCGGAAGTTCAGGACCCCAGGGGCCAACAGGAGTAGGAGTGGGGAATGTTGAAGCTCTATAAAGTTTAGATGGCCCGTTGCCCAAGTATACATACTTTAATAGCTACTGTGTGAGGAGGGTGGCATGTGGTCATCTCGAGCATTGCCCACTCCAAATTTGGGAAGCTCTCAATCAGGCGTGGGGCAGCACGGTGAGCCCCGAAGTCAACCAAACTGGCCGCCATTCATGTGAAATCCTGCTGCCCAAGTTTCACTCAATTGTCAGCAGGTATATCATCTATAAATTCAAAAAAATCAGCCAACTCTTCAAGTCGGATCACGCAGGGACACCAAATTCAAATGGTTCCCAACAGCTTGCGTTGCTTGCGCCTCGTCATTTGCTCTTCACTCATTTTCCGATGATGATCGTCTAGGACCTGGACAAGGCTATGTTGGGATGGTTCCCCCGTAACGTGGGTAGTTCTTGGATGGTTCAAACCATTTCAAAACTACAAGTTGCAAGTCAAGTGAGGTTATGCGCAATCAGGGGCAAGAAGGAAAATAACACATCTGCGAAATCACCAGCCACATGACCACAAGTAGCTATGGAAGACCTTGCCCTTTTAGGTTGATGATTTACCTGTCAATCATGGTGATTTTCCAAAACGAACTGGTGAATTACCACAAGGCCACCCCCCATAGTAGTGGAAAACCAACCATTTAGTTCGGTGCTTTGTCCCATTGAGACATCACCCTGACAGCACCTGTTCCGGGGTCCAGGAAGGCCAGGAGAAAGCCTCTGAAGAAACGGCCGTTGAATGTCACTGTGCAGCTAAATTGCCAGCTCCAAAAGCCAAGCCAAATTCTTGAAGATTCAAAGTTTCACACGAAAAATCTACAAAAATTGGTTGCCTCCGGACATATTGCGCAATTCGCTCAGGCCAACAACGCCACGTCCAACAAACGGATCTTTCATGATTCTTCGCGAATTCTTCACGATCAGCCGTCTTCCAGCCGTTTAGCTCGGCATAGCCGCGGTCCGTGATCCCCACCGGGTCCCCACCGGGTTCCCACCTCCCCAGATCTCAAGCTCTCCATCTGCACGGTTCGCTTGCGACAGGCCCCCTCCAGTGCCAGCAGCACACTGCCCTTGCCCTCAAGGAGGACCACCTTACACGAACTCGTAGATGGCCAAATAGGGATTTCACCCGCGGAAAATCGTTAAACAATCGATGACGGGACTTTAAACGGTCTTTGACCATCAAACACACCGGCAGATATATATATATATAAATAACATAATATATTAAAACATATATATATATATGAATATATTTATAGAGAGAGATGGGTTTACGGTTTACCCAATATTATGAGGATTTACCTGGGAAGCAACATATGTGCTATCTCTGTCTTCTTGGCATGTCCAACACCTCAATCACCATACAGGCTGTGTTCATGTCTAGTGATGGAAGAGAGGCACGCATGCCATGGCTCACATCAGTTCTCAAAATCTAACGAGAATGCATCATTGGATTGGTTTACAAGACCACCTAGAGGAAACCGGGGCCTACAATTAAAACCCATTAAAGTGTTGAACTATGGGTTTTCCTGTAGTAGATTCTCTTTTCATCCAATTCTGGGAATGTAAAACTTCGCATTGAACCACTGAGAATATGCCATGCAATGGCTAAAGGACTCAATCCCTCCAATAGGAATCTGGCCTTTGCTGATAAAATCTGATTAATTTGAATATTCATATCCCCATTTACCACAGATGTCAAGTCCAAGGCTTTCCTTATGGCGCAATGAGCACCGGGGATCTGGAGTCCTCTAGCCGCCCAAAATCCCATCTGGACAAAACTAATTTCGGGATGGTTTAACATACAAGTACATTACCCTCTGGTAATTTAACATAGCTATTGAAAATGGCCATTTATAGTGGATGTACCCATTAAAAATGGTGATTTTCCATAGCTATGTTAAATTACCAGAGGGTAACCATCATATAGCATCATTTATCTGTCTGTAAAGTTCACCAATCTGACATGGGGCGGCCATCTTGCCAGCTTGAAAGGCCATTTGGGATCATCGCCCCTGGGGTCCCGTGTCACCACTGCAAGTCTTTAGCTGGAGCCGAGTGGTGGCGCCGTGAGACACTGTGAGGCATGGCAGTTCAGTCAGCGCAACATCCGAACTGCACCGAACTGCTCACGAAACGTGAAACGCGCCACATGGGTGTGTCCCAAAACTGGCCACACCAAGTCTTCTGTAGGTTAAGAACCACTCAAATGCTGACTTTGGGACACGCTCACATATGGAGTCAAGGTCCGCCCTGTGCCGGGCACATTAAAACTGGTTCCGTTTTTTACGGTACATGCTTCCCCAAGGGGGGTGACTAACAAGGACGGCTCAGAAGGACTCTTGTGCTGACCTTTTGTGGATGATGCACCCGTAATCTTTCCAGAGTGTGAAATTGTCGGCCGTCCATTGTCTCTGTTGTCTCTTGGCAGCACGCGAGTGTCACGTCGCTCAGGTGTTGTTACCTCAGAGGCATTGCTTCAGTCTGGTGATGTGAGTCAAGTCTTTGAATTGAGATGTCTGGAAAAAGAACGCAATTAAACATTATTAAACATCAACCATCTTGTCATTTTCGTGCGATTACGTCAACTTTAATATTTTCTTCAAATAACCATCTCTGCAGTGTATCAACCTGCGCGTGTGGGTCTTCTACTCGCACCTTTCAAAAATCCAGCACCTGGGTCCTTCACACCCCTGAATCCAACCATTTTTATATTCTAAAATTATACCCACAAGGAAAGTCTGAGTCAACCACTGAATCCAATCTATATATATATAATATCAAATAAATAAATGCATATATATATATAAATAATATGTATATATATAATATATATATATCTATATCTATACAATATATATATATATACATCTCAAAGTGTCATATGAAACAGGTACTGTCTCGCGCTCCCGCAGCTTTCTTTTTCCACAGCTATGCCTATGCTCAGTCAATTTCACCTGCAATCCTCAGGTTTGCTTTGGGTTGTCACGATGTGACACGTACATAGCCCCAGACCAGTTTCGCCACTGGTCAGCTGCCTGGCAACCCAGGCTGGAACCTGCTCTGCAGGAATCACCCATCCCTTAACCTAAGGGAGGGAAAGTCTCTCTTGGTCGCCCCAAGAGAGGATCCCCGATAGAGGCTATGTACTCGCCTGCCGTGCAGGCTCCCCTAACCTAGGCGGACATCTCCACGGGAGGTCGGCTCTTAGGGTTGGGAGGGTGGGGAAAGAAAACAGCAATGAATGCTATTTTGGTTCAAGTTTACTTGAGCCAAAATGGTAGCATTCATTGAAACACTTAAAGATGATACATGCACACCCAAGCCTGCCAAACTCAATGCATGGGTACATCTCAAAGTGTCATATGAAACAGATACTGTCTCGCGCTCCCGCAGCTTTCTTTTTCCACAGCTATGCCTATGCTCAGTCAATTTCACCTGCAATCCTCAGGTTTGCTTTGGGTTGTCACGATGTGACACGTACATAGCCCCAGACCAGTTTCGCCACTGGTCAGCTGCCTGGCAACCCAGGCTGGAACCTGCTCTGCAGGAATCACCCATCCCTTAAACCTAAGGGAGGGAAAGGCTCTCTTGGTCGCCCCAAGAGAGGATCCCCGATAGAGGCTATGTACTCGCCTGCCGTGCAGGCTCCCCTAACCTAGGCGGGCATCTCCACGGGAGGTCGGCTCTTAGGGTTGGGAGGGTGGGGAAATAAAACAGCAATGAATGCTATTTTGGTTCAAGTTTACTTGAGCCAAAATGATAGCATTCATTGAAACACTTAAAGATGATACATGCACACCCAAGCCTGCCAAACTCAATGCATGGGTACATCTCAAAGTGTCATATGAAACAGGTACTGTCTCGCGCTCCCGCAGCTTTCTTTTTCCACAGCTATGCCTATGCTCAGTCAATTTCACCTGCAATCCTCAGGTTTGCTTTGGGTTGTCACGATGTGACACGTACATAGCCCCAGACCAGTTTCGCCACTGGTCAGCTGCCTGGCAACCCAGGCTGGAACCTGCTCTGCAGGAATCACCCAACGCACTCAATTCCCAAAGCACTAAAGGTATTCGAGGGTGAGAATGACAGCTGCAAAGGGTAGCTGGAACAAGATTGTAGGGAGGTACGACGAATAAAATTCAAAACCATGGCATCGCCACCATGGATCATTGACGCCAAGTCGGCTGATATCGTCAGCCCAGTTGCTCTTGCTCTGGACGTACTCCCAATATCCTTGGGCTCGCAGTGCAAACAGAGCTAGATGGATCAAATGACCTAGCTTCGCTAAGTCGGCATTGCTAGAACGTCCTCTCACTAGCGTCATGACGGCTGCTACGTTGTCCAAAAACCATAGGCCGTGTCGATTTCGAAACAGATCAGGCCTTTCGACAAGGGCGTAGAGCACCATAGATAGTTCCAATTGGGCGATATGCGTCTCTGCAGGTTGCCAAAGTGCTCGTAGTTCTGCACAGTTGGTCGCGACAAAACTGTGACGAATTTGTGATCCGTCAGGCTGGAAAAAGATCAGGTGAAAACCTCCTGAACCAGGATTGTCTGCTTCGACAGCTGCATCGGAGGCTGCCAAAAAGCGCAGATGATCCAGGTGCAGAACGGGAAATTCCCGTTTTGGCTGAAAGCGCATAACCGCTTCGATCACCTCGAAGCATGCTTCAATCTCGGGAGTGATGGTCGAGGTTGTCTCGTCTTGCCTGGCTTTGATGGCCATAAGGCCACCATATCCCACTCGACCGTAGATGCCCTGTTCCAGGAAGTTGGCCAAGCCGTACAGCTTCGATGCTGCCCCTCGGCTAAAATGGCCAGTCACCCTGGCTGTTGCCAACATGTCACGTACTTTGTCATGGAGCCGTTCTCGAGCCCAAAACTGTACATGCCCTGTTTCGTTGATGGAGCTAAGATCATGAGTCAATCCCAAAAAGGTTCCGGTGCTCTGCATTGGTTGTTTCTTGTCCTCTGCGAAGGGGGATCCGATAAGAGAACACAATTGATTCATGGCCCATTGGCCTGACCCTTTTGAGGATCGCAAGTCTGTAATGGTCGCATCATCAAAGTACAGGGATGTCAAAACTTGGCAAAAACGCCTGGCTAGTGCCTCCAATAGTCTGGAAAAACGGTTGAATGATGTAACCGCCAGCGGCAGTCCGAAGAGTAGCCCAGCGTAGACTTGGTATGCAGGGGTTTGCCATTCGTGATGGTACCACACCACCACGCAACCCAGACTTTCCTGCAATGCCATAGGGCAATACCTGTATGCTGAAGGCAGATCTTCTTGTCCTGTTTCCCAGGCATCGTTCGCGAAGAAATCGGCCATCTCATCCTCTGTCCAACGATGCATTGCAAGGCGAGTGTGCTGGGCAGGACGCAATGGACTGCACAAGGTGAGCTTGTTCGCATCAGACGACAAAGCTGATTGTCCTCCGGTGTCTCCATTGTCGATCACACGCTGCTTGCCTGAGCTCTGTTGTTGCCAATGGCCCGCAGGAAATCTGTCCGTCGCAAGGGCTCTGTGCAGAAGCCATTCGCTGCGTCCTCCAATGACTGCTGCAGGAGGAACTCATCGTCCTTGCCTGCTCTCAGCTGGCCCAAGATGTGCTGATTGTGTTCCTGCCATCCCTCCAACACATCCGCCATGCTGATCACCTCAGCTGGCTGTTGAGGGAATATCCCATAAGGTGGTGCGTAGCCCACTGCAGGCAGCCCACGGATCAGACCATAGGGAAAGCTGGTGTCTGCCCATGACGTCAGCAGCATCAGCAATGCGATGAGCCCCACATCGCGGTGCCGGGTGACCTGCTGGATGGCCGGCTCTTGGAAGGAGCGCAAGTGGAGGGTCACCCCCTCCCAGCGTCTCTTCAGCTCTTGCATGGCCCCGACTGCCTGCTGCCGCCACGGGCGCAACTGCTGGCCATGTGCCACATATGCATCTGCTACGAACTCCAGGTCTAAGTCGACGACTGGGAGGTCTTCGTAGGGCAACGGTTGCTGGGCTCGTTGGACTGCTTGGTTGAAGTGGTCCTCAGGATCCAAGTTGAACGGCAGCAGTGGGGGCAAAGCGGCACGGTGTGTC